GTCAGCGTACCTTGGATGACCACCTGTTCGAGCTGGACCACGTCATGGGTCAGCTCGCAGCTGCTGGTGCAAAGACTTCTCTCGCCAAAGGTCAGTGGTGCAGGTCAAAGGTTCAGTTTGTTGGCCTCCCTGTGGGACCGCAGGGAGTGCAGCCTCAATATAGCAGAATTCAAGAAGTGGCCACCATCAAACCTCCTACGAATGTCTGAACTTCGGAGTTTTCCAGGTGTGTGCAACTACTCTCGCCAGTTCGTAGAAAACTTCGCTGAGGTGGCGAGACCTCTGACTGCCCATCTGAAAAAGGATGTGCCTTTCGAGTGGACTGGGCAGCAGCAACAGGCCATGGATGACCTGAAGGGTTAGGGTACATTTTTCCAGCTACATCGGTGGGCAGAAAATCATCAGTGAAACTCTATATCAGCTAGTGACCTTCCTTAACAGTCAACACATCACAGATGGTGTGGTGACCAATGCACGCATTGCGTCATGGCTGCTTGCTCTTCAGAGCTTCGACACGGAAATACGCAGCACGCATCTCAGTTTCACTTGTCATCTACCTTCTTGGAAAAGTAACGAGTTCTTAACCTCTAACCGGAAGCCCGTTCAACATCAAGACCTTTTCATGGCTTGTGATGCCCTAGCGACATCACATGACATGCGGATCTATTGGCGTAAGGTCAAAGGTCATTCTTGTGCACCTGGAACTGATAAGGATCTGAACGATCTTGCAGGCTCTCTTGCCAAACAAGGTGCAGCTGTTGGTACCCCATGGTCCTTCAACCCCTTGTGGCTCCCTGACGATGTGTCTTCTCAGTCAGACCCATCCGCGTGCATGTCGTGACTCGAGTTCAGGCCGCTAACGTGTCCACCCCTCGACCATCTGATGGTTTTGTGTCTGTTCCACCTGTCTTTTCTGAAAACGACCCTGTCAGTCTCCAGTTCCAGGACCCTGCTATCAGCAGGATGATACTGTACCTTTCTGATCCGACAGCTCATATGCCTTCATCTGTCGAGCTTGACACCGTTCCTGAGCTCTGTGTTCTCTTTCGTGTTCATGTCATTCCCTCTTTAGGTGTTGTTAACTACAATGACGCCGTCAGAGTGACCAGTCTGTCCACAGCCTCCAAGGTCGGTGACACCCACAGAGTCTGCGTTGTCACTGCAGCAGGATCACTTCACCCGGGGGTGGGAAAACCACCTGCTCCAGAGGAGGTTGACAGCTGCTGTGGCACGCCACCTGAGACTCCGGCTGAAGTCCAGCACCTTGCGGTGGGGACACCACCTGCCGAAGGGGGGGCTGACGGCATCACTGACCTTGCTCCACTACAGCTCACGCTGGTGACCTCTAGCCCTGAGGTTGGTGACTCACCTACCAAGGGGGGGGGGGGGGGTTGGGGGGGGGGGGGGGGGGGTTGACTGTCGCCCTGTACTGGCTGACCCTGATCTCTCTGACTGCACCTGCACGTCGACCGAGGGTCCTCCAGAGCGCACACCTGCATCGGACCCTCGTAAGGCCGCGCCTGCGCCAGTCTACAGTCTAAAACGTTCTTTGTTTCAGTCTTCAGGACTGACAAAGTATATTTTGCTAGTTGTGTGTGTCTGTCTGATGCCCAACACAGCTAAACTTCCTCCACAGCCTCCTCTAACGCGACCGTATGAACCTGGGCCCTCTTCGGGCATCACGCTCCGAGAGAGCCCAGATCTATTGATGACTAACTACCGCCTGTCCACACTAAAGATTTGTGTTAAAATTGACCCTGCAATGGCGTGTGCTAATGAAATGATGATGACCCTGCAAATTCACCTGCTGTATCAGTCAGTTCAGTCCAGTGCCGCTCCGGCTTACACTAACGAGCAGTATTTGCAGGACCTGAAGAACCATCTGCCTGCAGTGTTTTCTTTTACACAGACAAATCTGGAGAAATCAGCTGAGGGCAGGAAGGCTTATTATGATCAGAAGGCCTCACATTCTGAACTCAATGTGGGTGATGAGGCCTGGTTCTACATCGTTGCTCCTAATTCCGGTCACAAGAAAGTCACCTCTGGTAAATGGGCTAAGAAACTTTTGCCGAAGTGGTCAGGTCTATATCTGATAACTGAAAAACTCTCTCCGGTCGTGTATCAGCTCAAGATCACCGAAGGAAACAAAGATCCCGCATATAAGTGGGTCCACAGGAACCAGATCAAATTGCACAAGGGTTGCGCTAATTTGAATGACATTACAACCCATAACTCTGATGACCAAAATCGAATCGACTCAAAAGGTGAGTGAATTTTCTGTCCGCTCTCACTCTGTTCTCTGTTTCAAATCTCACAAGTTCTGTTGTGTGTATGTATGTGCGTGGTTTGAATTCATGTCTAAACGTAACATACAGACTTGGTTGACTGTTGTGGTTATGCTGTGGGTGTTCTATGGTTATATGACTGAGTTCATACCAGATGATGGTGAGTAACTCCACTAACTGTTGTGTTTGCTCCAAATTCAATTATCTATTTTTCAATTCCTAGTGATTTTGATCATTTTTGCAATTTTTAAACATTTTGGGACTGATTTGAGTCCATTTTATACTTTGTTTATCTACTAATCTCTGATACCTACTGTGGTATATTCACATATAGGTTTGATTACTAACTTAACTGATTTACATTTTAATGTTTCTTCTTCTTTATATTACTAATAATTATATTATTGATTATTTTAAAGGTATATTCACAGATATACATTTCTGCATTATTTCGTTACAGCTGATTTCTTTTTGTCATTTCTATTATAATCCATTTGATTTAGATTTTTACCAGTTATGGGCTAAAGATTATTTCACCCTTCTGTTTTGATAAAGTTTTTGCTCCAAAGCATTGATTTTCCCTTAAATATATTATAGGGTTATGTTAATTTGTTCTTTTTGCAACACTTTTCCAGTATGCATAGTTTCCTGCATTCATTTCTTTCACCTGAACTCCGTTCACATAGTTAGCTTCACATAGCACATAAAGGGTTCACTAAATTTGCTTCACATAGCACATATACTGTAGGTACTGTACATATAGTGCTAGGTTTATTTTTATTTGTTATTTTACATCAGATGCAATCTATGTGTGTCTACATTCAAGTGCCCTGCATGTGTGCTCCTCTCCTGGGTTTTGCCTGTGGTCATCGTCCTGCCGTGGTTGCTGGAGTTCTACGGTTCGCCTGGGGCCTGGTCCGGTCCCTGCTTGTCTGCTTTCTTCCTGAGGATTGTGATAAGTGGATTTACCCTTTTAAGTTTGAGGGCTGCATTGACTTTTCTCAGGTGTGGGGGTTTGCTTTCCTCAGTCCTGAGGCCTTTGCCTGGGAACTAACCTGTGCTTCCTCGACTGAGTCCTTAGGGCCTATGGGACTGTTCAACGGTCAGTGGTTTCCACCAGGACCCCGTGCCCTTGCAAAGGGGGGTTATGTAACGTCCAGCAATGGTCAGTTTTGAGGTACAGTTGACCATTCAACATCTGGTCAAAAAGGAGACACGGGACTGCATGTGTTCCCTTTAAAACAGCCTGCCTTCATGCCACCAGCTGGAGCTCAGAGCCTGCAGCTCTGAACACAGATAACGAAGTGTCAACAATAACATTCTCTCCTCAAGGTCCAATCTTTCAGGACTCTTCATGCCTCCGTATAAGGAACACTCGAAGCCCGGATTCCCTAAATCAATATGAACTTCTACAACTTATAAGCTAGATAATCATTAAATAAACATTTATTTATTGCTACTTATAAAAATTATAATATAATGAAATGTTTCATTAATCTGTGCTCAATGAATGAAGTTTGAAATGAATGTTATGATTACAGTGATTGAAATACAGTTCAGCATGTTAATATGACAAGGCCATCACCATTTGCATTCACACAAGAACAAGTAAGGTTAAGTTAAACTCTGACACATTGATAGTATTTTACCCCAGTCAGAGCCTCCATATCAAAGAGGGCGTGTTTCAGAGTTTCTTGGTAACATTTCTCAAACCTGTCAACCTTTGGTTGGCTACGCAAATCATAACATGAGAACATTAAAACTGGATCACTCTGGGTGACTCAGCGGTTCTAGAGACAGCTTCAGACCGGCCACCTGAAGCAAAACCTCTTTAACCATCACAGCTTTTGACACGTTGTCAAAATCTTTATGCATCTGCGAAGCTGACACAGCAACAGTTCCTGCAGAACAAGCTGATATTGTTTAGACTCTTTAAGAGTCCCAGACGCGCGGTTCCATCCGTCTGTTGTGACTTGGAGACAACCCTAAGACCGGTTTAGTGGGGCCGCAGTTTCTTCTATGGACCTCGGTGCCTGGAAGTCCGAACACTTTGACATTCCGGATCTATCACGAGGGTCTTCGAGTGGGTATGTAGACATGACAGATTGTGTCTGATGTGTTTTGATAACAACCACCTTAAATGCTTAACGCAAACCAAATTCTTTTACATCCAGAACTCCGCTCTCCTAGATAGGGAAGTTCTGACTAACACTGCATTCACATATAGGTTCATACATCAACTTTAGTTCCATCCATCACAGTAAATGCTTAGTTAACTTGTCATGTTTTAATTGTTTGTAAAATAAATTCTTACTTTTATAAACCTGACTCTTTTCTGAATCAAAACGAAGTGCGTACAATTACTTAATAAAGAAAGAATCCTAGAATCTTCTGATAAACACAGTAAAGACCAAGCAGAGTTGATAATGTATATTTAGCTAGAGTATCACAGCTTATTGGTCATAAGTAGAGGTAATATATATTGAGCTCTTAAAGCACTCAATTTATCAAACCCTACAACTATAAACATCTACACTGAGTTTTCAGATGCTCTTTTCATTAAGTGAAACCACAAGAGACATTGACTCACAGGGAAAAAGAAGGAATGAAATAAAGATTGTGGTATAAGATAAGTGTGTTTTACTGTAAAGGCCATTAAACAAATCAAGATGAGAGAGGAAGTATGGCCAGCTTTACTCTGATGCATTAACTCACCCAGAGGACCCTGCACTCTTGCAGACCCCCAGCAAGGGCCTCTTCTCAGCAAAACTGTCCATCTTCAGAGGACCTGGGAACGAGTTCAAGCATGAGGTTAATCAAAGTCAGAAAGATCAGCACACAACATAGTTAGTCTTTAATAAACACGCAGTGCCCACTTGCAAAATAAACAGGAAGCCAAGCTCCAAGCTAGAAAATAATACATTCTTACTACTGTTGACATGTGGTTACTATTGGTAGCAAAATGGTCTGAACTGAAAAAGCCTTGGCCTCTTTAAAATTAAATAAATAAATAAATAAAAACAATGTTGCTGGTCTACAAAAGCATGCATGAGTCATCCATCTTTTTTGTTTTGGCCTTTTGGGGTCAGAACACTGCATAAAAACAAGAGAAACAGAGAGGACATTGCATTAAGTGGAGCACTCCAATGTTTGCCTATTTGTCCAAGTCCTGAAGTTTGGGCTGAGGATCAGGAGACTGGGGTCTTAGGCAGAAGAAGATGTTACCCTTTAGAGGACTGTAATTTGAGGCTTGACAGTAATCAGCTCGAGTTCCTGTGGCATGGCGTGAGAGCAACAGTGGCTGCCTCTACCAGCTCTTAACACTCCCAAAAGTCTTCATTCTTCTTTCATGTCCTGTCATCAGACTTCTTTCCCAGTCCAGTTATTGAGCTCTAACATAAATATTCTTCTCAGGGACTTCGTAAAATGGCACATTTACTAAAATAAACTTTCTGGGTGAAAACCTCATAACTGATGATTACTTTCATTTGAACAGTGTGTTTAAATGAGAATAGGTGCATATGCAGACACAGACAAATTAGTTGGTTCCCTTACAGCTCAATGAAACAATGCTTCATTTCTTCTAATAGATTATAGCTGTCTGATGTTAACCTGCATGGCTTTAGTATGAGTAAATAAACACAATCTAAAAACCAATCCAACACTTTCTGATCCCATCATCCATCATATTTTAAACCAAAATGGTCTCTAGTGAAAAAGACTCAGAAGGGCTCAACTACTGACAGTAAAAATATAAAAAGAGAGTGGATTTCACCCACAGTCAGACTGTCCTTTGGACTGGTGAGCCAAAAGTGGAACTTGTTGGCAAATCACATCAGCTCTAGGAACACTGGATCTACTATAGGGAGCCTAAAGCCGGGCGGACACTGTGCGACTTTTTCACTCGTAGCACTCAGTTTCAGCTCAAACTGTACGACTTCCTCGCAGGGCAGATCTCACGAGTCATGTGCTCACACTGTACGACCCAGTTTTCGGATGCGACCTGACTGCTCACACTGTACGTCTGGTAGCAACACGTCGGACCTAAAAATATGCTAAAAATAGCAGTTTTTACTCAACACGTTACTTTTTTGTTTTGCCTGTTGTCCTCCGGGAGTGCTGCAGGACACACAGGGATTTATGGGGGTTGGATGAGAAAAACGAAATAAAGTAAATCTGTGTTTTGTGATCAGTTTAATTTGACATGAACACGACAAACACGCTTTCTTGACAATCTTTGTGAGTAAAAAAACGCGTAGAAATTAAAACGAACAACGTGTGTTATTAGGGAAATAGCGGGCGAGCGGTGTTGATGCAGGATTGCGCATGCGCCGTGCGTGAGCGGTTCTGATACTTATTGGGTCGCAGCTGCTCGCAGCGCCGCTTCAACAGTGCGATACCCTCACGAGGGACGAGCAAAATATTAAACACGCCAGAAGTCCGTGCGAGCTCACGATTGCTGATAGGTAGCTGGTCACGAGGTGTTAATCGCCTCTCGTAACCCCCTGTACTCTACACGACGCTCGGAGCAAAACTCGCCCCGATCTCGTGGATTCTCACACGAGTGGAAAATCGGCTCAAAAAAGTGAAAAAGTCGCACAGTGTACGCCCGGCTTAAGCCTCCTCCCTTTCCGGTTGGCTCATAAGTCCCCGAAGAACAAAAAAGGGAATGCAAGTCAACGGGGCTAAACGGGCTATTTTCTAACCGGCTTTGCCTAACGCCCTGGTTTGCACATAGGTTGTACTGCAATTTGCATGAAAAATAATAATAGGTGTTTCAACTACGCCAATCACGTACTTTGAGATTTATCAGCTTTTAAAAGTTCGTAATTAGCATGACTGTAAATCAGACATTGGCACGATACATATATGACGTCACCACAGAATCTCCTCTCTCCTAGCATAGCTGCTACTTACCACATGGCCAGATTTATGGTGGTTCTTTCCTCCTGAAGGAAAGATGAGAAGTTTGCAGAACTTACAGCCATTTTCCCCTGTGTTTCTCTGTGTCTGGATTCATGACGTCACTTTCGTGAAGCGTATTTGTAGTCCTGGACTTATTTTCACACAAAACCTAAAATAGAGTTGCCCCCGTTCCAAAATAAGCATGTTTTTGGTGTCAAAACGCTTCTTTAAAATTCACAGACATCATATGTGAAATCTATGGAACATAACAAGCAGAATTAGAAAATAGCCTTTTTTTAGCCCCAGACCAGCATTCATTTTTTCGTTCTTCCGGGGACCCATGGTCTGGAAGTAGATGGGCGTGAATTAGGCTCCACATAGAAAACAAGGGACCCTCGGTTTTGTTCTGGACCTGCTTTGCTGCATCTAAAGCAGGGTTCAATGAAGTCTCCAGACAGTGGAGACCTCCTGAAGCCAAATGTGCTGCCCAGTGTCAGAAAGCTTGGTCTCTGTGGTCATGGAGTCAGACCTGTCAGACACTTTTAAGTCACTCTCCTTTACTTGACATTATTTTTACACCACTCATTTACTTCTATCAGACTGGATCATGAGAGGCTGCATACCTAGCAAAGCCAATTCCAACAGATATAGTAGCATCAGTCAACTCTGCAACAGAAGAGGGCAAATCTCCAGGTGCAGATGGGTTCAAAGGTCAAGTTTACAAGAAATTTCGCATGATATAGCTGAAATGTGCAGAACTGCAAAGTCGAGAGATCGATGGGTGTATGTGCTTTATCCCTAAATATTATATTACTGGAACCATCTTTGTGTCTGTTCTGTTTGTTCAATAATATTAAGCATTAAACAAATATCTGGTTTGTGTTAAATATGAAACAATTATGGAAGATGTTTAACTAGTTTGTTTCATGTGTTTTGGTAGACTGTAGATGGGGATCAATTCGTTTCTCTGTCTGTAAATAAAACAACACAGATGTTAAAATTCAGAGGATTACTTTGAAAAGAACAAATGATCTGCAGTATGACTCCACTGTGAATATATGCTGACCTGAGTTTAAAAAGAGGCATAAACACCTGTAAAGCTTTGATACATAGTCAGGTAAAACCTTTATCAACTCCCAGAGAAAGTGGAAACCTAAGCAGAGGGGATGTGGAGATGTGTTCTCTGGACCAACCATCACTTCCATCTTCATATTAGAGAAGAGGAACAATGCTCATTAAAATCAACACTTTTTCCAGGCTCTTTAAGTCCACCCACTCCCAGTCTCCCATAGCAGACAATTGGCCTTTTAATGTCTCACCACAGTGCAACACTGTTTGTGCCCTCGCAGATAGAAATCAGAGTCCTTTCCCGCAGTAGTGCATTTCATATTTATTTTCTGCCGAGAGAATTACTCCCCTCATGTGTCGAGCTATCTGCTGCTTCTTATTACTGTGGTTTGCTTTCATCCACTTCCAGCTCTTTTTAAATGCTGCCATTGTGTGCTGCTGAAATCTGTCAAAAGACCGGAACATAGACGGACAACGAAAAGCTGTTTTTCTCACAAAGACAGGGAGTGAAAAAAGCCACAAAACAACTTTTACATCAGTGAATGACACCTGTAGTCATGAAACAGCAGATCAGTGGGAAAACGCAACCGTTGACGCCTCAACTCTGGGAACAATGGCATTTATACTGGTCACATTTGAACTTTCCAGTGCCTCAACAATAGAATCACCAATATATCTGTTGTCATTTTACCTGTTTAAAACAGTTTGAAGCGGATCTTTTTAGTAAAAGTTACGTTTTTTTAATCTACCTGAAGCTTCTGACCAGCAGGGGGGAAATTCAAACATTGGACCACAATCAAAAATGTTTTAGTAGCAGGTAATATTCCTTGAAAGAAGATGACATTATTTTATACAGATTATGTTTTGTCAGACACAATAATAAGAATAATGAGCTTTAAAATGACTTTGTGCTATTTGGTAAGGTAGAGCGTTATCAGTTACAGTCCCATAAATACACAGTCTCACTTTTAAACTGAATTTATTGAGTTAAAAACATTGGAGCAGCAGTGAGCGGGCATAGAGCGGGTTGCCTAGAGATGGGAGGATTGCGGGATCGATCACAGCTCCTGCCAGAGTACTCTGCTGTTGTATCCTTGAGTAAGACACTTCATCCAACAAGAAGAGGGGCTGATGGCAGCATTGCCTCTGTCAGACTGCCCCAGGGCAGTTGTGGCTACATAGAAGCTTATCATCACCATCAGTGTGTGAATGCACAAGTGCATGAATAATAGAAAGTTCTTTGGGTGGCTGGAAAAGCGCTACATAAATCTAATCTATTTACTAATATTGGTATTATTATTAAATCACCATCTCATTTAGAAGGAACCCGTATTTAAATGTATGAACTTACCACCAGTAATTAGTTACCCATTTGCACCTTTTTTGTTGAAAAAAAAATGTAAATAAACTAACTGAACTTTGGTTTGCACAATTTCAAAGTGTGATATGTAGACTGTCATCTTGTGGTCAAATGTGGGTACTGCAGTCCATTTTTATAAAAAACAAAAGTTACTGCCAGAGTTTCATGGTTGTTGCCAGTTATGGGTCATAACCCAGGCTAGACAGGAAATCACATACAGTTTCAGTGTAGGTGTAAAAACCTCTGATACTTTTCAAAATAAAAGACTATTGCAGCGATGAGATTTCATATCTATTAAGAGTACATAAATACAAGTGACCTAACGGTTTATTTACTCCCAGCAACGTTCCAGAAGTGCTGCGGTGTGTTTTTCATTACTTTAATGCTGGCAGTGGAGTGGAACATCATATCACATCAAACACCAATTTTAAACATGATTTCCTTCATTTTAGTTTAATGGCGGATTGCATAAATGCACCATGACCTTTGAAGTCTCAAAGGATTTTGTGATCTTGTGGGTCCAGCGAGGAGCACAGCAAAGTAGCTGCCCCACGGCTGAGATCTTCCTGGTCTGTACTGGCACGCAGCGAAGCTCATGAGTAAACACTCTGCTGATGCTTCCAGTGTGAAGTAGGGGTAAGGCAGTGTTTTCCCCTATATAGGCTCACGTCTGAAATTCTAGCGCCATAGCTACAAAATCAACCCCTCACGAGAGAAGCACAGAAGTGAAACATTCTGTGTGCTCTTACCCCCTGCCGCGCTCTTATGGCAGTGAAACGATCCACGAATGTACACACACCCCTCCACCGCACACCACGGCTCTCCAGGAGAAACACTGGGTAAGGGTTACAGGACATAACTTCTGGGTCGCTCCTGTTCACTTGCTTCAGTTCTTTAAACAACTCTAAAACTTTTTGCCTGTCAGTGTCAAATGCTAAATGCCAGAGCTGCAGTGTTAAATCAGCAGACTCACCAACTGTAAACAGTAACTCTGTCCCTCCGATAAAACCCCCAGTTTGCCAAGAATGAAATCTGCTTCAATCAAACCTTCATTTCAGCCAATAGACTGTTTTGTGATTATTTCACTGTAAAAATCTTACATGGAGGGGGGGGTGCGCGCTCCGTCCCGCAGCGCTCTTCCGTGAGGGGTGGGGTGGTTGCACACGTTCCGCTGCTGTTTCTCACCAGTATCAGCTGATATAGGGCTCTAGTTTCATTGCGCCGTTTGTGTTGTCGTGTCGGCGGACACGGTAGGGGCGAGGAGGGGGGGTGGGGCATGATGCTTAGCCTGGCGGGTGGGCAAGCAAAGCCCGGCAGGCCGCCAGGCTCATAGAGCGCTAGGGAAACCCTGTTACATATAGCCTCTTTAACTAAATTATTTCAACTCAGACCCTCACAGCTCATCACATTAGTTAAATGTGCAAAGTTCAATTGCAATAATGAAACGACTTCATCTTTACAAATTGATACCACTTACCTTTATAGTAGAAATTTGATCAAACGCCATGAGATAAAATGCATAATTATACTCTAATGCTGTTCCATGTTCTGATTGATACCAACAATAACATTCAGGCTTTTTGACTTTTTCTAAAACAGATTCTAAAAGCTCAACAAAGGATTTAAAGCTTTAGGTTCCTATAAAGATCTGAATACAGTGAAAGACTTAATGTACATTAATGTCCACTTAATGCACTAATATTTATCTGTAACTTTTAGGTCTTTTAAAGGCAAGATTTGATCTTAGAAGAGTTTAAGATTCAGTAAGAAGGAGAAGAGGCTTCCAGCAGAGCTTTGGCAGCACATCAACCCGACGCTGCCCAATGAGGGCAGGCCAACAGTCATCACAGATTAACTTTCACATTAGGATGAGGTACTAGGAAGCACTCTTTAATTTAAATGATGTAGCACTATTTTAAATACCCACAACCCCAAACTGCAGACAGCGCGCCGTCAAAAATGCCATTTTAAGTGCTGACCTTGGACACTGAAATCAAGTTAACCAAAGGTTTGTTTGGTTTCCAGTAGAGACGTTTGGGAATTACACTGAAAAGAAACATCTGAGGATTAATAATGAAAGACATTTAATATTACTTGATCGTCTTCCACGATATGGTTTGGAAAGATAAGATAACCTCTGAAGGATACAGTTTGTGTTATGAGACAAGGTGAAAAACAGGTGAATCAAGATATAAATATGAATCCATCCATTTTCATCCGCTTATCCAGAGTCGGGTCGGAGCAGCAGCCTAAGTCGAGAGGCCCGGACTTCCCTCTCCCCAGCCACTTGGGCCAGCTCCTCCGAGGTAATCCCAAGGTGTTCCCTGGCCAGGTGAGAGGCATAGTCCCTCCAACGTGTCCTGGGTCTACCTTTACGCCCCCTCCTGGTTGGACGTGCCTGGAAAACCTCACCAGGGAGGTGTCTAGGATGCATCCTGACCAGATGCCTGAGCCATCTCAACTGGCTCCTCTCGGTGTGATGTGTATGTAAAACTAAAATATGAACACAACAAAGACTCTGTGCAGTGTGCTCCCATCAACTCTCTCTCTCTAACTGGCTGCACAACACATTCACTAATGTGCTGAATATCCCTGATGTATGAGTGGTCCCAACATGCTTTCCGTAGGCCAGAGAGCATTTAACACACCACACGCAGCAGAAACATTTGACAGGACTCTCTTTAGAACCATTACGGTAATTGGGCCCATCCTTAAGATTGTTGGAGGGAGATAATTTGGTTAAAGAAACTAGCAGAATTATATTTCTGAGTGAAACAGGCCCAAGTGGATCTGCATCAGTCCCGCATTATTCTGCAAGGAAACTGAAGCCATGGAAGTGGCAAAAACTGTAGTTCCACCCTCATCCACTAGGCGCTGGCAACAGAAGAGAGCAAATCCTCATTGACTCCCATGTTAACAATGCCAGTTTCACATGTTTAAAGCCTGGTAAAAAAAAAAAACATTTTAGGTTTAATAGATCTAGTTTACACTCATGACAACTCTGAGGGGGGTGGATTTTTTTCTAACACTTCTGTTAAAGTGGAATTAAGTGCTTAAACATCTGAACAATAAATTAGCATCCACGTGACTCCAGAGCAAGGCCTCAGCCTGGGCCTCACGTTAATAGATGTTCAGCCATTTTGACTGTGTGTGTGTGTGTGTGTGTGTGTGTGTGTGTGTGTGTGTGTGTGTGTGTGTGTGTGTGTGTGTGTGTGTGTGTGTGTGTGTGTGTGTGTGTGTGTGTGTGTGTGTGTGTGTGTGTGTGTGTGTGTGTGTGTGTGTGTTAATCATGGAATTATTTGGACACTGAGGGCAAGCAGAGCATCTAAGCAGCTTCTGCTTCTTTTTAATCAGTAAGTAAAGTTATATTTCTGTTCTTTACTTTGCTGGTTGAATGGGGGAGATGCTGTCATTTAACTGCTTGGTCAAACATCTTTGACCGTGGTGGACCAGGAAGCCAGATATCCTTGGTCATCTTACCTAGTTATGATTTTGTTACTAAGCAGGAAGGAGTTGCCTTCACTTTTGTTGCTCTACCACGTTTTTCTTGCTAAAAACACCCCCAAAAAAAGTCCCTTAGCTTCGGGTTAGCACGTAGCTAACGCCCCAATGATCTCAGAAGGTGGAACATGAGTGGTTGTAAAAGGCCACAACAACCGGCTACGATCACAGCGATCTGAGGCTCTGTTGGTAATTTAACGGTCACAGTCCATATTAGATCTCCACAGTCGGCCAGCATGACTAAAGCCTTGCACTGGAGCCAGTCACCCATGCGGGTTGGCTATTCCAGACTCCGGAGCCTGCTAAGTTAACTAGTAGCTACTCTGGTTCATTTGTTTGAATCCTGTTCCAAACGTAACAGCCCGACCCTCAGCTCCACCTCTTTTCCCATTTTTGGATTGTTTGGGTGTGACGAGACGTGTGACACGGCCAAAATGGCGGTTTTGGGAACCTCCCATATGGAAACAAAACCTTAATTTCATGCCTATGGAAATGAAATGTCCACTATATATGTCAATGATCTCCATCATTAAAGGATGTTAAATTACTCACTGATATGAGGAGCTGGTAGGATCCGAGCTGATCGAACAGGTCCGTGACGCACCGAGAACAGCTCCTGGGCTTCTCCTGCCAACTGAGACAAGCAGTTAGTTCAATGAGCAAAAACTATCAAATTATTCCAGAAAATCAGGTATGAAGAGCAGATTGGAGAGGAGAGGAAGCCCCCTAAACTGATCATTGACAACGCCTCCCACACCCTGAATCAAGCAGTATGAGCAGTGGTAGATTTTACACCCTCAATTCAATTCAATGAACCGTTTATTTTCTATGCCAGTTCACCGGCTGACCTCAAACATCAAACAAGGCCATTCTAACGCGCGCACACACACACACACACACATCAAATAGCATAGATGGATAAACATTAATGGTTTCCCTAAAGTTTGGTATTTTACAGAGAAAACAGGACATCTAATGTAAAGCACTTTAGGGTGTGTGTGTGTGTGTGTGTGTGTGCGTGCGTGCGTGCGTGCGCCCTGGTTCTATTTTGTATAATGCCACATTGTTTTAAGTGCAGAATGCCCCACTTTTGTTGTTCTTTTATACGTTAAATTACGATAAAAACCTGCGTTATCACTTTACTGGTGCATTAATCTGTTTGTATTAAATCTTTAAACCCATCTGAGAGGATGATCACTCTTTAGTGCAATCAGTAGCCTTTTAAACATGACAGCTTTAGAGCTGTGTTTTCATTCAGAGTGCTTCAGGCCCAGCAGCAGTAGATTAACACCGGAGATGTGGGCATGTTAGACGAGCTCTGATAGCGGGAATAAAAAAGACGCCAGCTAAATAAAAAAATTCCTATGCAGGCAAATGGACCTGCGAGGGACAATAATGGAATCTGCTGGATTAAAATGGGAAGAGGAGGGCTGGGGGTTAATGCTCAGGGTTATTGTGCATTACCCCACAGCTCATCCTCACCTTACATGGCTCTGTGTAACATCCTCTGCCATCAACAACATCTCCAGCATTACATTAGTGGCACAGACGGCAATATGCCAAATTGCTTTTTCCAAGTTGCTTTTCCTGCACACAGCCATTCGTTTTATTCTGTTCTTTTGTGGTTTGAATGTTTCTGTGGAATCACGGTGTCTGCTCGTCTCTCTTAATCCCTCAAATGCAATGCCATGAGCTGTTAGAGCTGTTAACAGATATCTGCGCCATATTCACCAGAGGATCTATTCACTCAGGAGGGAGTTCACAGCTCTCTGTGGCACAAAGTCACAATAAGAGCTCACACACACACACACACACACACACACACACACACACACACACACACACACACACACACACACACACACACACACACACACACACACACACACACACACACACACACACACACACACACACACACACACACACACACACACACACACACACACACACACACACCTTCTTCATGTTCAAATTCAATTCAGTTCAAATTCAAAAATACTTTATTAATCCCAGAGGGAAATTAGAGTTTCAGTACACATAACTCTGAGATCAGACATACATTCATAGACACATGACAAGAATTGTTCTATTGATATAAAATGATTTACGACACACCGTGGGCTCATGTCTGAAACAAAGGACAGATTTGGTTAAACAGAACACCAAAATATATGAAAATGAGCCGGTGCACAAGAGCCACTAAACACATTTAGTATACAGAACAAAAAAACAGCTGTCATGAAAACCAGAATCATAGTAAAGCTGCCACTATTTACTATTTTCATATAGGATATTTTAACAATGGCTTTTTGGTAATAATTTAGTTTCCTCCAAAATGACACAATCAGCTGATCAGATGAGACAATACAGGGTCCAGCATTTACCAGAACAAGAGATTTTAAAGGTTTTAACATCAAGGAAATAAAATTTAAATACAAACTACAGACTTAGCCAGATATTGGTACTACTGAATAGTGCTCGTTTTGACAGTAGCCATAATGGCGAGAGTTATGGTCCAGTGGATTCTGGTCTAAACTCTCCTGGTGGGTCTAGATTCTGGTTTAAAGTCTCCTGGTGGGTCTAGATTCTGGTTTAAAGTCTCCTGGTGGGTCTAGATTCTGGTCTAAGGGATCCTGGTGGGTCTAGATTCTGGTCTAAGGGCTCCTGGTGGGTCTGGATTCTGGTTTAAACTCTCCTGGTGGGTCTAGATTCTGGTCTAAGGGCTCCTGGTGGGTCTGGATTCTGGTTTAAACTCTCCTGGTGGGTCTAGATTGTGGTCTAAACTCTCCTGGTGGGTCTAGATTCTGGTCTAAGGGCTCCTGGTGGGTCTGGATTCTGGTTTAAACTCTCCTGGTGGGTCTAGATTGTGGTCTAAACTCTCCTGGTGGGTCTAGATTCTGGTCTAAGGGCTCCTGGTGGGTCTGGATTATGGTTTAAACTCTCCTGGTGGGTCTAGATTGTGGTCTAATCTCTCCTGGTGGGTCTAGATTCTGGTCTAAGGGCTCCTGGTGGGTCTGGATTATGGTTTAAACTCTCCTGGTGGGTCTAGATTCTGGTCTCTGTAAACCTTTAGACCTGGACTGGATTCAGACTCAGGCTGACCCACCACAAGAGTTTAGAACCAGCAGAAGAGCAGACTAACGACGAGCTGAACTAGACTTGTGTACACTGCGCGGACTAGTGGTGTGGAGTAGAACTGCTGTTTTAGTAGAAATAAATAAAAACCAATGTAAAGCTAAATTCATCAAAACTACAGGTGCTGGCCAGTAAATTAGAATATCATCAAAAGGTTGAAAATATTTCAGTAATTCCATTCAAAACGTGAAACTTGTACATTATATTCATGCAATGCACACAGACCAATGTATTTCCAATGTTCATTACATTTAAATTTGATATTCATAAGTGACAACTAATGAAAACTCCAAATTTGGTATCTCAAAAAATTAGAATATTCTGAAAAGGCTGAATATAGAAGACACCTGCTGCCACTCTAATCAGCTGATTTACTCAAAACACCTGCAAAGGCCTTTAAAAGGTCCCTCAGTCTTGTTTTGAAGGCACCACAATCATGGGGAAGACTTCTGACTTAACAGCTGTCCAAAAGACAATCATTGACACCTTGCACAAGGAGGGCAAGACACAAAAGGTGATTGCTAAAGAAGCTGGCTGTTCGCAGAGCTCTGTGTCCAAGCACATTAACAGACAGGCGAAGGGACGGAAAAAATGTGGTAGAAAAAAGTGTACAAGCTCTAGGGATAACCGCACCCTGCAGAGAATTGTGACGACAAACCCATTCAAAAATGTGGGGGAGATCCACAAAGAGTGGACTGCAGCTGGAGTCAGCGCTTCAAGAACCACCACGAGAGACTCATGAAAGACATGGGATTCAGGTGTCGCATTCCGTGTGTCAAGCCACTCTTGAACATGAAACAGCGCAAGAAGCGTCTCGCCTGGGCCAAGGACAAAAAGGACTGGACTGATGCTGAGTGGTCCAAAGTTATGTTTTCTGATGAAAGCAAGTTCTGCATTTCCTTTGGAAATCAAGGACCCAGAGTCTGGAGGAAGAGCGGAGAAGCACAGAATCCATGTTGCATGAGGTCCAGTGTAAAGTTTCCACCGTCAGTGATGGTGTGGGGTGCCATGTCATCTGCCGGTGTTGGCCCACTCTGTTTCCTGAGGTCCAGGGTCAATGCAGCCGTCTACCAGGAAGTTTTAGAGCACTTCATGCTTCCTGCTGCTGACCAACTTTATGGGGATGCAGACTTCACCTTTCAACAGGACTTGGCACCTGCACACAGTGCCAAAACCACCAGCACCTGGTTCAAGGACCATGGTATCCCTGTCCTTGATTGGCCAGCAAACTCGCCTGACCTTAACCCCATAGAAAATCTATGGGGTATTGTGAAGCGGAGGATGCAATACGCTAGACCCAACAATGCAGAGGAGCTGAAGACGACTATCAGAGCAACCTGGGCTCTCATAACACCTGAGCAGTGCCACAGACTGATCGAGTCCATGCCACGCCGCATTACTGCAGTTATTGAGGCAAAAGGAGCCCCGACTAAGTATTGAGTGCTATACATGCACATTCTTTTCATGTTCATTCTTTTCAGTTGGCCAACATTAGAGAAACAAACATTTTTTCATTGGCCTTTAGAATATTCTAATTTTCTGAGATACCAGATTTGATGTTTTCATTGGTTGTCACCTATAAATATCAAAATTAAACGTAATAAACATCGGAAATACATTGGTCTGTGTGCATTGCATGAATATAATGTACAAGTTTCACGTTTTGAATGGAATTACTGAAATATTTTCAACCTTTTGATGATATTCTAATTTACTGGCCAGCACCTGTATATGCTGACTACCAGTTATCATCATCATGGTGAACATCTTTCACTATTACTACTTTGTGACAGAAAAAAAACACCAGCATTTTAATCTCATTCACTATAACTTCCTCCCTCCACAGGCCAAAGCTGTCATTCTCGGGTTCTGCATCGAGAGAATAATGTATCTACTTATGACATCAAAGAAAAGACACAGACACATCCATGTTGTGTGTTTTACGCTTTAGTAAATGTGGTTTACTGAACTGAAACCTCCTAGAACGATCAAGTTGACGACGTGTGTAACACACCTCTTGATGTCCAACACTTTCACTGGCATGGTGCTTCAAAGCCTTTCACCTCAACGCACATGGAGCTAATAATTAGTCCTAGCCAGTCTGCTCTCATCAGGAGGCGGTCAGCGACACCTCTCCAGTGTGAGGCCACGCTTATCTACATTGCCTAAACACCTCGGTAAGCGCCTACCCCAGCAGTTAGAGGCTCTGTCTCATGAGCACACCGAAGTGTGTGTGTGCGTGTGTGTACGTTCACACGGAGCTGGGCCATTAAAGAGGGTGTTGGCTTAGCCAATGTCACAAACACTTCACCATCACTCCAGACCAGAGAGCGAGGCTCCGTTCATGCTTACTTTAAATCCAGTGGAAAAAAACACAACCTAGAAATATCCCATAAACTTTAAAGCTCAGAAGAAAAACAATGAGGACAGACGGCCGGGCTGTGCTGTGTGAAGCTAGATAACTCCAAGTGAAAGCCCAGGAGGCTCAGCAAGCTTCTACTTTAACTGGGTGTGTGTGGAGTGGTTAAACCAGCTGCACGGCTCAGCGCTGCCTTTGTAACGGCAACAGAAAATCTGCTAGCAGTACGGGAGTAGCCACATCACAGTAGCCCGTGTGTGTGTGATTGTGGATAAAACAAGAGTGTGTCCCCCTATCTGCGGCCTGTGGATGTTTATAGAGACACTGATTAAGGACTGTGGCGTGTTTAGAACTCACAGGATGTATGTGAAGTTTGCATGTTTCAGTGACAGTCTCTACATGAAAGGCGATACTTTTTGAAAGAAACCTCAGCAGCATTGTGGGTAATTTATACATTTACAGAGCTGACAAAATCCTCTAATGATTTTCCAAGACGGACTCTGAACAAGGTTCAAATCCTAGCTCGCCTGCACTGCTTGGCCTCTCTTTACAAGAAAAACACACTCCTCCAGGCCAACCAACCAGACTGAACCGGAAAAAGCCTCCGACATCATCCCGCTTCCAAACATAACATGTAAACAGCTGGAATTCTGAGGTGAGCCACCTCTGCTGTGGCTTTTAGTGAGTGTCAGAGAGTAGGATGCATTTAAAAGCAGACCATGCTTTTATATTTAAAGTGATTTTTTTACACCAAACGTTGAATCGCTGTTCCCACCACCATCTCCCTTCCTTTGAGTCCTAGTTCTGCTCCACAGCAGGGTTTCATCTTCACCTAGTAAATCTATTAGTTCCATCTATCTCCTGTTTGTTGTGAGCAGGCGGCTGATGTCTGAACATGACCAGAGGATGCATCTTTAATGTGCTCATTTCACTCACTGAACTGGTTTAGTCTGCAAACGGAGACCTAAAGCATAAACTTGTGATCAAACTGCACTATGAAGGGGTTGAGGGATGAAAACGTTCCTGTTCCACGCTCAGTAAATAAAAATGTCAAATTTGTATTTGTTTGCATTTCAGACACAACTTTCCATCTGCAGTTGGGTGATGTTTGTTTTGGGTTTCTCTGTCTCTTTGGTGATGTCCTCATCTGTTCCACACACACTCACAACGGAGTGTGTGTTAGAACCCGCGCTGTTGGGGAAAAGACCTCCAGTTCATTATCTAAATGAATCCAACACTATTGGTGGTCAACACTTCCCTCTAGTGGCCAGACGGATGTACTGCTGTAGCTGTAAACCAGAATAACCGCCACCGGCTGGAAAATGAACACATCCCAACTGTCCCAGGCTCAGAAAATGACCTTTGAACCCTGTAAGAACATACTGTTTGCACACTTCCATCACACAATCAATTCCAAAGAACAACTCTGAACAAATAAATAAAAACAAAGCCTGTCAGCAGCATAAACTATCCCCAGACTGTTTATGTTTGTAAAAGGGTTTTATATATATAAACACGTCTGCAGGTTGGTTGTTTGTTTTACTTTGACTTGATGAACATTATTAAATGGACAAATGTGTCTGACATTTTACCCCTTGTACAAAAATCATCAGGAGAAAAAAATACTTCCTAGAAGGTATGACACGATAACACTTTATTGAGTCCTAACACTCAGACTTACTGAGACGCTCCAGATCTGCATGCCATCGGTGTAGCCAATCATGAGGCACAGTGGGGGCTCAGAGGTCCCACCATGCATCTCCATGAACTCTGGGTTTCGGGCCGAATCTGTAAAAACGACGTTAAGTTGAGTCAAGATCATGTGGTTATTGCGGTGTCAGAAACTAAACTCCAGTGAGGAGTGGCCTAAAGGATGAAACAAAAACAAAACAAGAGGAATGAATAATTATGATTCCGTATTTATTCTTAAGTGACTGCCCTGGGGCGTGCCGCAGTGCGTTCTGGGATTTGTAGTTCTACTGACCAGTTATGAACACAGGCTGTAACGGATTTGTAAATCAAGAAGTGGGGTGCCAGCCAGGTCTCTCTCCTGACATATAAGCCAGCTGCATCGATTAGTTAACCTCCATATACGCAGAATCCCTACAAAGGATGCACAAAGAAACAGTCTACACTAGGGCTGCAGCTATCGAATATTTTTGTAATCGAGTACTCTATCGAATATTTTATTGATTAATCGAGTACTCTAATAAATGACCCTTTTGTGTTTGTACACCATTATATCAAATAGCATGTTATAAAATATGAAAGACCTCTTAAAATAAGAAGCAATTGCCAGTTATTCTTCAAGTTTTACTCAAAATTAGTTTCAAAACTTCAGCACTTCAACTTTACTTCACAGGAAACACATGCCTGTGCAAAAAATAAGTATACAACCTGAGCTGATTTCCCCCTCGTGCGAGAATCTACTAGCCTGCTGGCAAGCCAGACAAAAACTAGGAGGATACCTGTTGAAGCAGCGCTACGAGCGGCTGCGGCCCAAACAGAACCAGAACCGCTCACGGCGCATGCACAAACATGGCTCGCCAGCTATTTCCCTATTAACACACATTTCTACACTTTTTTTTCTCACACAATAACAAGGATTGTCGAGAAAGCATGTTAGCCGTGGTTATGTCAAATTATACTGATCACAAAACATTTATTTACTTTCTTTCGTTTTCCTCCACCACTCTCATAAACACCTGTGTCCTCCTGCAGCAATCCCGAGGGACCACGGACATCAATAACAACACAATAAAAGTCAGACGTGTTGTGTAAAAACGACTATTTTTAGCACACGTATAGGTCCGATGTGTTGCTAACAGACACACAGTGTGAGCTGAAACTGAGTGCTACAAACGAAAAAGTCACACAGTGTCCGCAGAATATACAGCGGACCTCCGAGTCCGCTTGCAGAAGTGACATGTACATGTGGATGTTTCCTGGTCCGGTGCTGCAGCATCGAGGATGTGGTGTTGTGGTAGGCTAAATCCATTTTACAGTCATTACACTGGACTACATTTTCCGCCTTACGACGTGAAAAATGGTCCCACACCTTTGACATTTTCTCTTCTTCGCACTCCACCGGGGTCCACGTTACATTCGCTACTCGCGTGTGCATTCAGTGCAGTGTGTATGTGCATCACTTATTTCGGTCCGGGTGAAACACGATCCTGGGCGACTGCAAAGCCATGAATTAATGAAACATGAATTAAACGAAGCCTCGAGGCAGAGAATTTGACTCGAGGCTTTTCTGTACTCGAGTTATTCGAGGTACTCGAGGAATCGTTTCAGCCCTAGACTACACCCTTCTTCTTCAAAAGAGAAACCAAACTAAAATTACTTGATCAACTCAAAACATCACACACCCAACAACATACAAATCAGTGGCTTATTGGTCTCTTCATTAATTATTAATTTGCATAAGCGACGGGGAAGCTAACAATGTAACCGCTCTGTGCTCGGCGGCACTCTCACAGTCTAACTCAATTTTTAACTCACGGAACGCGACTTCCTCCCAACGGGTCTCGTGGTTCTCGCAGAAGAGCACAAGCACAGAGGTCCGGCAGGCCCGACTCAGAAGTGGAGCCTGGGTGAAACAGCTGCGCGTCCAACCGAAGCGGCGATCCCGTCCTCCCCTTAATCTCCTCTGAATCGGCATTCTCGTCTCTCCTCCGTTTTGTCGTTTTGACAAATATTTCCTTTTTTTTCCACAATTACTTATTTCTCTCCATCAATCCTCCCTTTTCCACTTGTCTGTGTCTCTCCCTCTCACGGTCAGCAGGGCAATCAAGACACACCTGATCGGGTCGCGCCCCCCCCCCCCCCCTTTTTTAAAGATGCGCTCGCCACAGAGGAAATGACATATGGAAGCAGGTAAGATAAAAAAAACAGAACTGGCAAACTGCCACAACACGTAACGATGTTGGCTGACAACACGTCGGTTTTACAGACTCACCGTTGATGTCAGCTTTCTCAAATCGAACCCAAATGACTTTCTCTTTCTCATCTGTGGGTGGAGCCCCGGTGTAGGCCTGCCATTCAAAAAATAAATAAATAAATAAATAAATAAAAAGTAGTGAACAAAACAGATACAGCAAAAAACACAAACCGTGTCCAAAGAGAAGTTTGTAGTGGACGATCTAATAGCTGTAAAAACTAGATGCTCTGTATCCACAGAAACGTGGTCTGCCGGTTAGAAATGAACTTTTCAGCAGATGAAAAAGGAAACATCTGAAATGTCTACAGAAGTCACGTGTTGCTCTGGGTCTACCTTGTTGTACATGGAAAATTGAAACTTGTAGGTGAAACTCAAAAAAGTAGAATGTGAAGCAAAGTTCATTTAAACCAAATCTAAAGGGTGAATATTACATGAGATAGACATGAGAATAGAAAGCCAGATCTTTCAAGCCCACATTTGTTATAATTGTGACGATTATGGCTCACAGCTGATGAAAACCCCACATGCTAAATCTCAGACAATTAGAACGTTGTGAAAAGGTTCAATCATCTTGCCTCAGTGCCACACTCCAATCAGCTGATGGATCCAGAACACCTGCAAAGGGCTCCTGAGCCTTTAGATGGTCTCTCAGTCTAAGCTGGATTACTGACATAAATGAACTTTTGCACCAGATTCTCATTTTTCAGGGTTCACCTGTTGGTATGTTGGCTGTGCCTGTGACTCTAACCCCGACCCAAAACCACAGCACCGGAGCTATGACTCATCATCTCTGAACATTTAATTTGCCGTATTTAGGAACTACTGTTGAATATAGAGTCTTGTCTTTTTTTTATTTTTGCGTTCTTGGTCACTTTGGTACTCCTTTGCACAAATGTCCCCACTGCAGCATCAATAAAGTCTTATCTTATGGCCCCCTCTTGGCATTATCATTCATATTTGTTCATGAATGACTTAATTTCAACTCTGTGAACAAAGTTGCTGAGACTGCTTGGTGTCAGCCACCACTGGTAACTCGTTCTGTGCTGGGACTGACCCAGCGACGTTTGCTGCTTGGGAAAAAAGGGGCTTTCATTCATTAATGTTTAAATTAAATCATACGCAAGCAACGGAAGTAGGGATAGATTAGACCCATGTTCTCTCCCCACAGGCTCTCTATTTAACTCTATGCAACAATCAGCCAATTACTTTAGAGGAAAAAGTATTTTGCAACTGTTCAAAAAAATGCATGTACTAAAATAGAGGATTTTTTTATTGTCTTTAGTTTTGCTCACTTGTTTGTTTTTGACAAATATATCTGTTTTCTAACAAGGTGTGCTCAGTATGCTAACGCTACAGAATCTAACAGGAAGCATCTGGCTCCAGGTCCACTTGGCCCATCCCTTTAGCCAGATGGTTTCAAACCAGCAACAAGGACTAGTTGAAAATCTAGAACCCTGGGTCTGCCTGGAGCATCACATCTCTTTGATTCTGTTCTAGGTCTGCTACTGTGTTTGGATCATGGCTCTGTTTCATGACCCGGTTTGGTCCAAGCTCCAGCTGTCAGATGGTCTCACGTAAGACTCTGGGACACTTAGCCAGAGGAGTTCATGGTGCCCCATAGCTGCAGAACCAAGCCAAACTATCAGCGTCCACCCCCTTGTTGACAGTCAGAATAACCAAGGCATTGTGGGTAAAAATCTACCACAATGTTCCAGAAGGCCAGTGGGTGGCTAAGATCAAACCAACCTAAGCTGAGCTGTGACCTTTAATCTTTAAATTAGCTCTTGTTTTTATGATGATTTTGGTCATTTCTCTAAGCTTTGACCTCTGACCTTGGAGAAAACCTGGATCATCAGCTGGGTGGAATGTTTTCTACTAATGAATAATCTTTCCCCCTGTAGAATAAAGGACTACAGATTGATTGGAATTGACCTTTGACCTATTCCCACACTAATGTGCAGCAACATTTGCTGGTAAATAGTTTTTATATAATAATAATAATAATAATAATAATAATAATAATAGATGTGTACTGTGCTGTTAGCTAATATAAAGACTAGCAATTAGCTTTTTCAGTTCACTGGTCGTCAATAAAAAAAATCAGACAGAAGAAGAATTCAGCTTTTTTGTTGGCATCATGGTTGAGCCTAAAGGTAAGAGAGTAATGACTTTGGGGATGAAGCAAAGATCCAAAACCAAAGTGATCATCGGCACGACCTACACTAGCTTGAGGGAGCTAAATGAGGCTACGAAGTCAGACTGATGGTGACCTAGCTTTGTTGTTACTGGACTTGTACGTAATAACTGTTTTTGTTTAACAGTGTGGATCTTTTTACTTCGTGGCTTATTTAGTATCAGCTGGCTCATGTTAGCAATAGCCCATTGTTAGTGCTAGCTACAGTGGACTGCGGCAGAGTTGTTTACAACAGTTGCATTTCTGCTTTCAACCAGTAGGAGGGAGAAGTAGGAAATTTATTGAGTGTTGCTTTTGCACACGTTTTAACCCACGCCCCTTTAAAGATTCTCACCTGTGCATTTGTCGCCTGTATCTAAATAAGACGTACCTGTGGAACCACATCCTGTAGAAACGTGACAACACTTTCCATGTATGACTGCTCCCTATGGAAACAGGACATCCATGTCAAAAGGAAACCCACAAAGTATCACAATAAAGTTAAAGGGATCAACGTTTAGTACGAAGCAGTTCTTATCTTCTGTCATCAGGGACAAAGGGCTGATAGCTCATCTGTAGCTCACATGCAGTTATGGAATCATCAATCTGACTTTCTAAGAACATGCACAGCAGGTTCACGCTCTTACGTTGCAGCTTGTGCTCGCACCAGAACTCCTCCAGCACAGCGGCTCGGTCTGCGAGGAGAGTCCGACGCCATTTTTCTCCGACTGGTTTGTCACCTGAAGAGATACCATGAGGTTAGCAGGGTCAGTAAAAGTCAGATTTCTGGGATTTGGTCTAACCTGTCTCAGAAACAAAAGAACACTGTCCCATGAAACAATCTCTTCTCTGAGCAGAAGCTTTAACTTTGTTTTTAAACTCACTTCAGTCACAATAAAAAGAAACTCTTGCATAAAGTCTGGGTGTATACAGATAATGTAATGATGTTTAGCTTTGCTCTGACAAAAATTTAATTCACATTATAAAACCTTTATCCTGTTATCTAAAAAGAAATGTGTCTACAACAGGAGAGATGTCAGTAGAGATCCTGAAAAGCATGCTAAAGTGTCAGGTCCCAGTGACACAGTCTGATGTTCAGAGTAGAGGTCTGTTAAAGGGAGACATAAGGATAATAACAATAATAACGATATTAGTAATAATAATAATAATAATGCTGCCCTAAACATGCACGTTTTTATTCTGGATTTAAAAAGTGGGAGAGAGTCAAGGTTACGGATGTCAGGCGGCAATGAGTTCCAGAGTTTAGGGGCAGAACAGGCAAAGGCTCTACCTCCCAGAGTGACGAGGCGGGAAGCGGGAACAACGAGGAAGATTGGAGGGAACGAGAGGAGGCAGCAATGTTGACAATGCCCCAAAAAAATGGAGGCGCAACATTGTTGATGGTGGAAAAGAAGGAGTTTGAAAATGATCCTGAACTTAACTGGTAACCAGTGGAGACAGAAAACCATCTGCTGTCTGATCTGATGAAGGAAAAAACAAAACTAAAACTAAAGGGCAAAATATAAAATCAGGAAACTCACTCACATTTAGAGTCTCCAGTTAACCTGAAATGTTTTTGGTCTGAGTGTGGAAATCCCAGAGAGAAGCCACACTTGCATATGGAGAACAGGCTAGCTCCATGCAGAAAGGCCACAGCTGGGATTGAAACCAGCGACCTTCCCATTGTGCTAATGACTGTGCTAGTATGCAGCCTCAGATTGGATCCTCATGATATTATTATGCTATAATATATTGCAGTCAAGATTAATGTCTTTACTGATTATTTTCAGGATAATTTCCCGTTACGCTCTCAATAATCTTTGTAAATATAAGCTTTGTATTTCATGCTAAAAGAAAGGTTTATTATAAAACAAAATGCTCCTGAGAGACAGAGATCATTTGTGTCATTACTGTATGCTGAATTGATTCTATCCAAATACAAACTGCTGAATGGAGTTCCTCCATGACTCTGGTTCTGTCTGTATTAAACCTGTTTATTAGGAGGGGTTCGCTCTCTCTCTCAGAGACTCGCTTTAATCTCAAGGTATCTTCGTTTTACAGCCTTAGCAATGACAGACTGCACAGAACGAGGAAGTCCTGGTCTCCGAGCCCCTCTTCTGAGAGGCTGGTATTTATATGTTTAAAGCAAAACACGCATTTGGGGAAGAACTTGCTGTCCTTCCTCTGGGTCCACCTCTCATGCTGGTGGAGGTCTGCATCCATAAATATGTCAGGTGCCTTACAATTTAAGTTACTAGAGAGGGTCGTTCTTCCTCCATTTCCAGATTCCAAGCAGAGAATTCTTTTCAGTCCAAGACAACGAGAACATGGCACACATGTGATGTTGTGCGTGGCTTCACATCAGGCAGATCCTACATGATTATGATGTAGAATACACGTGATCCTGGTGTCAAAATGTCACCATAACAGAAATTAGCTCACAGCTAGCTCGCTGTTGTGTGTATTTTATCCTCAGATGCTCATTCTTCTATTGACAAGTTGAACACTTAATCAGGAGGACCAGATGACTGTAAGTCCACCACAGAAGGAGGACCTGCTCTACAGGGGGACGAAACTCGATGTAACACCAGAAACATCCAGGCTTCCTTCAGAAGCAGCGCGTCATTAATTAAGCATTTAGCCAGCCTTCAAAACTATGTAAACTCCTGGGAACACCAGGCTGGTTTTATCATAAAGTCTCAGCTCTAAGGAGGAGACCGTGTGGACGGAGGACACGAGTCTCCACCTAAGGTCCCTACACCACCACCAACAGGAGATAAGGCTATATGTCTACAACGATGACGTATAACAACAGACCGAACTCGCGCGCTATTACTGTTGTCTCGGCACGGAAGCCTCCGGTAAACAATGAGACACGTCTCTCAAAAGGTACTAGCCAAAGCTAAACTTACAGCGGGACCCCGATGCTAACACCTAGCCACGCAGCTAGCTGGTAAATATAATCAGTAGTGTTGACCCGACATGGTTAAAGCCTAGAAAAGAACTGTGTTGGATCTCAATAGCACGTTCAAACAGGTGCTGAAACGAACCGAAGCACAGAAGAGTGGCAGGCAGCCTACTTGTTTCAGGACGCCAGCTGGTCTGCAGACCTGTCTCCCACAAAACAGTCACAACACAAACACAGGTTTTGCGGAACTGTGTTTTGTAATTACAAGCCAATCAGAGCCCAGAAACCAAAGGAGCGATCCAATCAAGTTACAGCAAGGGCGGGATTCCGGATTACGTCACTGAAGGGTTTTACAAAAAAAATCTGAAATATATATTTTAGAAAAATAAAACAAAGTAATATTTAATTTAATTTTCCATGAGACCAAATAAAATTAATTTGATTTGTTTAATTAATAAAATAAAATCTACATTTTATGTATTTGCTAAAATAAATGACTAGAGGTATTTTTTAGTCATTTTTATTTATACAAGTTTATTTTGACAATTTTACAAATGAAGAGAAAAAAACCTGCACACACATAAAAATGTAATAGAGAAATGAATAGTGAAAGTTTGTTAATGCCAATAACACAACATAAAGACAGTTAAAGTAGAAATGGAATTGTAATGCATTTAAACATGCTTTATTACTTGGGATTTTAATAACGTGTGTACTTTTGGGGTTGAATGTTAAATTACAACAACCTTTCAGAGTTATAAGTCCCACATTTTACTGGTGTGGATCTGCTCACCCCATGAGGTTGTGATCAAGTCTCTGTTGGAAGTGAGTGCTGAAAAAAATGTTTCCAGATTCCTCCACCAGGGGTTCCCAGCAGACCGCTATTATACATTTGTGCCTACCAGGTCTACCGGACATCTTCCCCTGCTTTTGGCTTAAGCTCACCACCAAGTGGTGATCATGTGACTCCAATCCGTTTTCCAAAACATTTGGTTGCAGGTGTGATGATGCAGTTAATCAATCTTTGACCTGCGACCCTTCCCACCACATGTACCAATGGGCATCCTTGAGTTAGAACATAATGTTCTGACACTAGCAGAGATGTCCAAATATAAAGCACATCTCTGGTTCAGACCAGGTGGGCCACTCCATTCAGTCACACCCATCGAGGTCACACTTTAATTTCCCACCTGAGCAGCAGGACTATGGATTTCCTAGTTAGAGTGCCATCTAGCAGATGTCCCAAGTCTATCATAAAGGACTGTGAGCTGCTGTCTGACGTCAGGAACGGACTGGGGAAATAATTTAGCCCAAGGATTTCTCCAGAACCAGAACCTTGAACCCAGAAACCATTCCCTATGGGCTGCTCCAAAAGCACAGGGAAGCTCCCTTTTAGTTCGTTGAGCTGCTTCTCAAAATACAGGATTATATTTTTGGGACAATCAAGAAGCCCTCCTTGGCCCTCAGCCTCTCACCTGGAACAGAGGGGTGGCATTCCATGTCTCAAATGCAAGTTTTTGTTTCTGAGATTTAATTGCTAAAATTCCACCATGGTCTAACACCCTATCCCTAAAACACTGTCTGTAATCCATCCATACAGTATAGTCCAGATCAAAAGTAGAAGACCACTTGAAAAATGGTCAAAAATATTATTTTGCGTGGTTGGATCTCAAAAATGTTTTTAGCAGAGCTTCAATGTGCAACAGGAAGAAATGGGAGTCACTGTCAATCAGCATATCGAACGGGTGGGGCTAGACGAGAAAAGAACCAATCAGAGCCGACCTTCTATTTGAACAAGCTGCCAGTAACCACAGACATCAAATTCATGTCTATGAAGGTAACAGTTGAACAATTTATGTCTAAAAGGAGAAAAAGTTCACGGCTGTAAGAAAAGCATTAAATATGAGAATCTGGAAAGTATCTGCTTGGTGAGTCCACATCTGGGTTTCCCCCTGGCTTAAAACAGTAGTGAGCACAGGGCCAGATTAACACTTTGTTGTACCCTGGGCAACAATATTAAAGGGCCCCATCATCACGACCCAAGGATCACCATAATATGGTCACATACAGAATATTTTACTGTAATATGCAGTAAATATACTCAATACTTGAATGCCTGACATCATGTAACCCACTCAGGGTAACCTTTAACCCACCTTGTGTGGACTGACCAATGAGGAGAGGGTCTTGACTTGAGGCTCTCTCTTCATTGGTCAGTCTGCATGAGACTGACTCAACTGACGTTCAAAGTCATAGGCAGCGAAGCGTCTCTGTGCAGCGCAAAAGCCCGGGTGGACAGTTTGTTTAGAATAGGGTGACCATATTTCCATTTCCAAACAAGAGGACAGGGGATCTGTGCCTATGATGTCACACTATGGCAACGCCACACAAACCAAGTTGGGACCCATTTTTTGTAAGAGCTAAATTAATATTAGATTCTGCCAATAAAAGGGTTCTAAAACTATTCATATGTAAATATTTTTTATATTCATTGCAAAATCTCATTTTCTGCTTTAATGCTGCAACAAGGTTTTATTAATAATAAATTATTATACCTTTTGTTTTACTACAACATCGGTACGCTTCCTGTGCACAGATTATTAAGGATGCTTGTTTCAGCTGTGAGATTAGTCGATAGGATCAATGAAAAAATAAGTTGTCACACACTCCATGGAAACTTTTAGAGAATCCACAAATAATGGCTTTCAAGTGGTTTTGTTACTTTTTGCAAGTTTAGAAAAGAAGCAGATGAGACAGCATGTCTGATAATTTAGTTTTTCATCTGATAATATTAGAACATGTCAGTAATGTCTGAGGGGTTTTTATAAACACTGTATAACTAACACTCCTGGAGAGGGTATGGATTACACAGAGGCTTCTGGGGACCCCAGTTATGGGGGGGTGGGGGGTCATTTTGCCTTGGACCCCAAAATGTCTTGAAACGGCCCTGGCTGTGTGACTGAGTTTTGAAGACGATCTGAATTGTATCAGATATATAAATATTACATGTGTATAACTTATTGTTTTATAGAGGTAAACACGTGTAGTGGAGATAAAGCTACCTACATTTTACTTTTCAACACTTTTTTTTGTTTTCTTGTTTTTATTAAACTATAGTTCCCTGTCCTGTCTGTCTCTCATCTTCCTGCATCTCCTCTAAAGTCTTCAGAAAATCTGCTGCCTGGATTCTTACTTTTCACCTCATCAGTTACTTTTGAGCAGATCAAAGGGATCTCCTGACTACAAAGCGGAGAGGCGTTTCGATGCTGCGTCAGTGAGGTGAAATCACCGCAGCACAGTTGATGAGCTCCACAGTCGCAGAGCACTTCAGGCACAAATAAGAGAAAGTAGAGAACATGTGCGGACATTAACAATCGTGTGCTAATTATAGTTTTTTGGTTGCGCCACTTTGAGAATGGACCGTGCGCTGGACGCAGCTGCCTGGAGCGCTGAACACCAACGATCATCGCTTTACGTGCTCTCTGCTCAAAAGAGTCCATAAATGATGTAATATAGGTAGAACACTTTTTTTCCGGCTCCCCTGGATGTGTAGGATATCCATCTCCCCCATAATTCGATCCCTGCTCCTGGATGAAAAACCAGACATTTTCATCAATACAAGAACCCCCAGTCCAGACGCCCCGGACAGAGAGTGAAAAGTGGACATGTCCGGGGAAAACCGGACGGTCACCCTAGTTTAATATAAAGCGGAAGATTACAGATGCAGTATTTTGCTCGTGCCCTTGCTGCCCTGGGCCCTTTAGAGTACCTGGGCCCTGGGCAATTGCCCAGCTGCCCATGGTTAATCCGGCCTTGAGTGAGCAGGGGTGGGTCAGGACATGAGGAATAGATTGCTTCTGCAGCCAAATTGAAAGAGCGAAGTGGAGCAACAGGTTGTTTAATTGTTTTCGTGGCACTGCTAAGGCCGATATTATCATCGTTCGGTGTCCTAGCGGTGGTTTTGTGAGGAAAAAAGCCTTCAGGCAGCCCAGAAAAAGGTTCAGGCACCTCGCCTTGATAAACGATTGCAGGGAAATCTCTAATAAACACACCTAAAAATAATTCTTACCTTTAGTTTACCTCCTTGGGTTATTAGGGTAACACCTTTTAATGTTTTTGGTGGTATGATGCCATTTCCTGTCATGTTTACAAATATTACTGCACATTATACAGACGTGCTTACTTTTTTTAAAGAGCCACTGTCTCAAACTGTCAGTGTCGATTTTGGTATTTTCCATTAATTATGGTTAACCCCTCCATGGGCTGCCACCTTGCAGTGGTGGAGGGGTTTGAGTGACCCAAGGATCGTAGCAGCTAAGTTATTTGAGGCGTTTTGCCTCTGGGCAGGGTTACCCATGACAAACAGGTCTCAAGTGAGGGATCAAACAAAGCCCAAAGACCCTTTATGAAGAAAACCAAACAGTGTTCCCTCACCCGGATGGGGGTCACCAGGGCCCCCCTCAAGAGCCAGGCCTAGAGGTGGGGCATGTTGTCGAGCATCTGGTGGCTGGGCTTTCACACACAGAGGCTGGCCGGGCACAGCCCAAAGAGGAGACGTGGAACTCCCTCCCATGGGCTCACCTCTCGTGGGAGGGCCCAAATGGTTCGGGTGCATTGTGTGATGGGTCGTAGCCGAAGACAGGGACCTTGGCGGTCTGATCCTCGGCTACAGAAGCTGGCTCTTGGCACACTTGATGTCACCTATCTGGTGGGGAAGGAGCCTGAGTTGGCGTGCGAGGTTGAAAAGTTCAGACTAGATATTGTCAGACTCACCTCAACGCAAGGTTCTGGCTCCAGAACTATGTTTTGTTGACAGGGGTTGGACAGTCCACCACTCTAGTTGTTCCCACTGAGAGGCGCCGTGCAAGAGCGGGCATACTTGTTGCCCCCATCTTGGTGCCTGTAAATGGGGTTTACCCCAGTGAACGAGAGTGTAGCCTCCCTCCACCTATGTGTGGGGAAGGGCTTTGAGGAGACACCGGCAGTTAGGGATGCTGTCACGCTAGTGCGCTACCAACACTGTTTATAGTGGAGACGGTGTGCTGCTGACCTTGACTCGGGACGTTGAGGGTGGAGTACTTCAAAGACCTCCTCAATCCTACCGGAACGTCTTCCAGTGAGGAAGCAGAGTCCAGGAAATTTGGGTTGGACTCTCCAATCTGAGGCTGAGGTCACTGAGGTGGTCAAAAAGCTCCCTGGTGGAAAGGCTCCGGGGGTGGATGAGATCTGTCCAGAGTTCCTTAAGGCTCTGGATGTCATAGGGC